ATTGAGCCATTCGCGGTATCGCCTTAATACGGCTTGCACTGAGACATGCATGGCTTAATCTTTGAGACAAGCATATAACTACTGGCAGGATCAACCAGGGAGCTGACAGAGAGAACTTGAGTCTCGTTGTCACTATACACTCCGAGACCACACGTGCAACGCGACGCGCAAGCGTTTTAACGCTAAAACGCACCGGTGCCGTATGAGAGAATATATGAATTCTTATTCAGTCTGGTCACGGGCGAGATCGGGTATCTCACGTCACTCGCACGTATTAACCCAGACCTACTGCGGACGACGTTCAAGTGCGCCCAATTCATAGAACGTTCAACAACGAGACAACTGTGTGAATACTTCACTATGTTAATAATCATTTAACACATTTGATATTATTTTCGTGAATAACACAAACGACATATATCGCCCGGTGTTAGAGAGATCATATCCATTTTTTAAAATAAAATACCGTCCCGCGAATACGATTATAAAAAACGCACCACGGCGACGAGCATAATTTAACGGACGTTAACGATGGACGCGAAGTCAACTCGCTCACCGAACGTGTACCGCGTTAATTAAACGAACGCTCAAATACGTCTTACCGCTTCAATAAACGGAGACGTCGTTCGACACAGTTCAACAACGACGATCATAATATATAAATATATAATATAATAAATATTATAAATAAATATCATATTTTATATTTATATTTATAATATATCAATCGCACAACACCACAAAACATCTAATCTAACAAAACACATGAGACTTGAAAATTTGTCGTATTGTGAGATTCGACTAGCACCGCTCGTGCTTCGTCTATACATATGTACGACTGCAGATATGCGTCTCCGGCGGTTCGTGTATTGAACGAATAGTTCGCTAAGACACGGAAAGTGTTCGCGTATACGCATAACATTATGACGAGCCGTCATCATAGGGTTACTTTAATACTTACCTGTCTCACGACGGATTATCATGATCATCACCCACACCAGGACCACCACCATCATCACGATCACCACCACCACCATCACCAACCACCGCCATCGTAATCATCATGATCGTCGTCGTCGTCGTCACCATCATCATCGTCAGCATCATCATCAGCATCATCATCATCAGCATCATCAACAGCAGCAGCAGCAGCAGCAGCAGCAGCAG